TAAAATGGCAACAAATTCACAACTATCAACAACTGAATCTAAAAAACAAACCATACAAACAACCAGAAGAGGAACAGAATCATTGATATGGAGATCAATTGGTGGGTTATCAGCTGGGAGGGGAAGGGTGAGAACAGGGGAAAAGGTGCAGGGATTAAGAAGCATAAATTGGTGGGAATGAAATAGACAGGGGATGTTAAGAATAGTACAGGAAATGGAGAAGCCAAAGAACTTCTATGTGTGACCCATGGACATGAGCTGGGGTGGGGAGGTGGATTGCTGGAGGAAATGGGGGTACTAGGCAGAAGGGGACAAAGAGAAAAATTGGGACAACTGTAATAGCATAATCAATAAAATACATTAAAAAAAGAATTCAACTTAATTTTGATGCTATCTCCTTGGAGATTCCACAGGTTAAGGATTCAGGCATACAAGACTTCCCACCTTCCATACACTTCAGACATGAGCTGTAAACTCAGGCTCCTTGTACTCTGACCGACTGGCTAAAGATGGGATGTTTTTATGATCCCCTCAACTCAGGATACTAATCAAATGTTTAGGTTGCAAACTGTAGTTTTGATCTACTGGCTATAAATCAGAGGTTCCCACAACTCCCTCCTTGGGTTTGATTCATTTGCTAAAATGGCTTATAGTGTTGCAGGAACTCAAGAGTTACAAAAGTTTTAGTTTTAAGTTATAGTTAATATGCATAGTAATTAATGTATGTACAAAGCTATTGCCCCAGGAACTGAAGGTATGACCTGCCCTGACTCCAGGAGACCACAAGCAATTTGACCTTTGTGCCCCAGGAGAAGTACAAGCAATAAAGATGGTATCTGGGCCTTTGTGTTCCAGGCAGAGATACCTACAGCCCAGGAACAGATAAAGAATCACAGGTCAAGAGATAAAAGGATGCTAGGGAAATTATCAAACTGCAGCTTTTATCTGATTACAATTTTGCCTGCATTCCAAACCTATTACTTTCTTTTTTCCTGAATTCCAGCCCCCTTAGCTGAACTTTTTCTTCTTATAAAAAAAGGTTGGCTTAAAATGAAATGTAAGGTGGTCTTTTTGGATACATAACCTGTATCTTCTCAGTTTGCCAGCCATTTGAATAAAGCGCCTATAACAATTCAATCTTTGTCTACTTATTGGCTCTGGTAGTAACAGGCATCATGCATGCCAACTTTTCCAGTTTCAGCAGAACTCAGAGAAACATGTTACTTTCTAGATCACTGGTTATTCTAAAAGGACATAACCAAGAAACAGCCAGATGGAAAAGATACATAGGACAAGGTATGGGGGCTGGGGGTGGAGCTTCCATGCCTTCTCTGGGCACTGCATTCCCCCAGTACTTCCATGTGCTCACCAGCATAGAGGCTCTTCAAACCCTAAACCCCATCCTCTAGGATTTTTAGGGAGGCCTCATTCCATAGTCATGATTGGTTAAATTATTGGCCATTGTCAATTAATTCAACCTCCAGCCCCTCTTTCCTCCTTGGAGGGTGGGAATGAGACTGAAAGTTTCAGTTCTGTAATCACATAGTGCGTTCTCCAGGCAGCTAGCTTCCATCCTCAGTGAAAAGACAAAGCCTGTGCCATTTGCTATCATGGTACCATTTGCTGAGCAAGCCTATGACCATGTTAAACATGTCTGCCATTTTACTCTTCTGAGCTTATTTCCCCGGGACTGGAAAACAAGTTGAAAAACAAGAACAGAACATGACTAACCACCCCCCACAGCTACAAGCAAAAAATAACATTAGAGCAAACTGCAGGTTCTGTGAAATCAGTGGAAACCTCCTGTGTTACAACGCCCCTAACAGCCCAGCAGCCACATAACAGCAACTCCCCGTTTTATAATCCAGTAAAAACTCAGAGCCCTATATCTCACTCCTGGTGTATCTCTCCACACTTAAGCCCCTTTACTCTCTTGGAAAGTGAATAAAACTTTGCTCTCTGAATTTTCATCTCTTGTGAATTCTTTCACAGCCTGTGTCACTGGCCACCCTAGTGTTTTGGTGGTCCCTATGGGGACATTCTCTATTTCTCCCTCTCCTTTGCTTCCTGAGACTTACAACTAGCAGAGCGGTGGGCAGTGGAAGCTTGTCCCAGGCTTATCCTCTAAGCTCATCTCTGTGAGGTTTGGAGAGAGGATTCTAATCCTTTTCCATCTCTCTGGACACTGTGGAGAGCCTCCTTCTCACCTCCTACACAGCCAGCAATTGATAAGTCTCTCTGAATCTCAGGATGAAAACATTAGCTTTGTTGAAAGTGATAGCTTAGTACTCCTCCCCTCCTCACTGTTATAAATCCTGTCACTGTGTTTATCGCTTTCCCAGGGTGTTGTCGGCAAGGGAAGCCTCCAACCATTTTCATGCTGAGTTCAGTCTGCTCTCAGACACATCAACAGCTGACTCTGGGACAGATCTTTCCTCGCTCTACCTTCAGGCTTGAGGATGCTCAACTCTGATGGCAGATCTCTAGGTCATTTGAATTGGGGGTGCCCTGAAGAGGATTGAAAAATCCTTTCCCTACCCTGCTTCATTCACATCCCTGAGATATCCTTCTCTTTTCTTTTTCACTATGGGCAATATTCAATCAGCCCCACCCAAGAACACCCCATTGGGAATGTCTACTTAAGAACTTCAAGGTTCTGGGACTTATCAATGTCAAGCCCAAGTGCTTGATTCTCTATTGCCATATGGCCTGCCCCAGTATAAACTGGGTAACCAGAAGGTTTGGCCCACAGACAGATCTCTTAACTATAACAAACAGTGTTCTCCAACTTGACTTTTACAGTCACCATCTCGATCCCATACTTTAATTCTTGAGAGGAGGAGACAAGATTTTAACTTCAGCAGGAATTCCAGGCCTCTTTCTCCTAACTATGCCTCTTCATTCAAATTTGCCTCACTCATAAGTTTATCTCCCTCTTTTTCTACCATGAAATTGTGTTTATAAAAGTCAATATAAGGAGTACTGGCTGCTTACTTTTTTTTTTAATCATTGGAAATTGAGGTTTCTAAGAGTTAAAATTTCAAATTAAATTGGAAAGAAATTGTATGGTTTTAGTAATAGAAGGCATAAAGCATGGAGATGCAATTTTGAAGGGCAAGGATAGGAACTAAGTTATTCTAAAGATGGTTATTTCTGAATAGATAAGAATGTTTGTGAAAGTTATATAAAGGTTTATAGAAGCTTGTAGAAGGTTGTAAAGAAAGAAACCTCAGTCAGACTCTAATACCCCTTCCTCCACCTAATTTCTCTCTGGTGACATTATTTGATGCCTCTGGTGGTACCTGGAGCTGTTTTCATTCTCAAACATGTTTTCTCTCTCTGCTTGCCACAGTGGCTGTCTCAAATGTGCTTTCTATTGAGTCCCCTGTCTGAGTGGGTTAAATCCATTCCCAGGGCATCTGGCTGGTGCTCTTGTCATTGGTAAGGTCACCCTCAGGCACAGGGTAAACACATCCATCTTTTTGTATTTCTCTGCTGGTGTGGACTATAACTCCAAGTCCTCCATCTGCAACATTTATCTTCTGTTCCTGGATTTCTGACGTTTCCAGGACCCAGAGCAGCCCCTCCCAGGCTCTTCTCTGCTACTTGATTCCTTGGATTGAAGCCAAGACTTTCTTTATTTCCACCACTCATTTACAGTCATCAGGTCTTCCTGCTTGGTATTTAGGACCTTCCATCTCCTTTTCCAGTTCTTAAAAGTTGTCAAAAGCAAATGAGAGAGCAAAAAGGAAAAAGGACTCACAGACAATGACAACAGTGTGGTGGTTGCTGGGGGGAGGGGGTATAAGGGGACTCAGTGGCAATGGAAAAAATACAATAAAGATTAAATTTAAAAAACAAATGAGAAAAATCTGTGCTTTCTCTACAAAAATTAGTAATTCAAATTATGTGTATGGTCTTTTATGTGATGTGTGTTTATCTATTACATGTAGTGCACTTTCTGCCTCTGGATGGCATAACCAGGGTGTAAGGTTTTATTGACCTAAAGAAATTAAGTACTGATATAAATTACACAGGATCCTGTGATTTGGACAAACTAATATCAAAACTGGTTTTAAATTTGGTTAATTTTTTAGAGTTATTACCAAAAAATATGTTGTTTTTATCATAAGGTTATGTTATGAGCTTTTCATTAAACTTGTTTGACAACCTTTCCAAAGTTTAAATTTTAAGAGACCTTTCAACTGAGAAATGACTTTGGGTTGTTCCAATGGGCCCTGAAATATCTCCAGGATAAAAAAGAAGTTTCTGAACTAATTAAGCCTATTTAATATGCTTAAAATTACTTGGAAAGCTTTGCCAGATAGAATAATAATATGTTCTGTTTATATACATATATTTTTATCAATAAGATATTCTAGAAATTTCAAACTGCCCTAGGAAGAAACCCAAAAATTCAAAGCTAAGTTTACACAGTAAACTCTCAGGGGTATCAGGTGTCCTCTGTTAGTGACACCAGCCAAGCTAAGAATGATGGTTCCCTGAGGGGACATCAAGCAGTAGTACTCTGGATATTTGTGACCCACAAATTGGGAATTTATGAATTGTTTTCAATGCTCAATACACACTTCTGATAAGTCATGTACAGCAAGCATTTGAAAACCTTGAGTACTGCTTGGTTTTTTATATATATTGAGATTGTGTGTTAAATCTAAAAATACAGGCTCTATATTGTTCTTTTATATCATTTCATAGTAATTATTACTTACCAACAAATTGTTACCTTGAAATATTATATTTTACAAAGAAACAAAGTTCTTTATCAATTGTATTTCAATCAAACCTGTAACCATGTCATTTTATTTGTTATTTATAAACAGTCGTTTTAATCTAATGTATTTGCAAATATATTGTCTTTGGAAAAGTTCATAAAAAAATCTGACTTACTCTAAATTACAGGTATCTAAGTAGGTCATATCTTTGAAATAAATGAAGATTTATAGAACCCTAAAGAATAACTGGATTTCTTTCTGCTTTCAGCTCAGAGGAAGCTAAGGTTCAACTTTCTTTGGTCCTCCGGAATCCAGGCTCATCCCACACCAGCTGTCTCCACCATGCCTCTGAAGTTCAACCCCAATGAGATAAAAGTTGTTTACCTGAGGTGCATTGGAGGTGAAGTCAGTGCCAAGTCTGCCCTGGCCCCCAAGTTCGGCCCCCTGGGCCTGTCTCCAAAAAAGGTTGGTGATGACATCGTCAAAGCAACCAGTGACTGGAAGGGTCTGAGTATTACAGTGAAACTGACCATTCAGAGCAGACAGACCCAGACTGAGGTAGTGCCTTCTGCCTCTGCCCTGATCATAAAAGCCCTCAAAGAACCACCATAGTCTGAAAGAAGCAAAAAAGCATTAAGCACAATGGAAATATCACTTTTCATGAGATCATCAACACTGCCCGACAGATGTGGCACCAGTCTTTAGCTAGAGAACTCTCTGGAACCATTGAAGAGATCCTGGGGGCTGCCCAGTCTGTGGGCTGCAGTGTCAATGGCTGCCACCCTTATGACATCATAGATGACATGAACAGTGGTGTGGTGGAATGCCCAGCTAGTTAAGAACTACAAAGGAAAATTTTCAATTAAAGATCATTTGACAACCAAAAAAGGAAAAGAATAACTGGATTCATGGAAATATGGCAAGTAACCAAGACAAACAAAATTGGTTATATGGGACTAAGTGAACTTACTGAGGATAATTATTATTCTTATGACTTTTTTCAAAATATTGCTAATTTTAAATCATTTTGTTTTCTAGCTATAAGGAAACTTGGTGTTTTTTCCTAAAGCAATTCCATGTTATACCTTCATAAGCAATATTAAAACATTTATATTTTTCACCCTACCTAATCTCTCCAGAATTCAGCAGCTCTTAATCAGTGAGTATTATTTTCATGGCAATACATTTGTTTGCATAAATCTAATAGGAATCTGTTATGTTTATAGTAGCAACAGTTTCCGAATGTGGCTTTAATAACCCAGTCTTTGTTTGGAATGTTATGATCGAAAGAGTCATGCCTGGACTCTGGATGTCACCAGAAAGCTTTGAGGAATTAAGATTGGCTTTTGAAGCCAATAAGAGCCCCTTGAAGAAATAGCCTGGTGCCTTGCTTTGTCATGTGATTCATGGCAGTCTTTCTAGCTAAGGGAGAAATATTTCTTTCCTGAAAGATGGCAAGGAAGGAAACTGAAGACATTTTGGGGACCTCAAAAACTTGAGGAATCCACCCAAACCTATAGTATTGCAAGCAAAGCCAGATGGCAACTGTGCCCTGAAGGGCTAAGTAAAGTTCAGTCAAGGATCCTTGTGAAATTCCAGCAAATCAGATATGAAAAAGCCTATATGATCAATTACCATTCTTGTTGTGTTCATGCAAATAATCAGGCCAAATTGAAACTGGACTTAATGCAGGCTCTTTAATAAAAAATGAGGGTTAAATTTTAGAGATAAAAATTGTATCTCATTGGAAATCACAATGCTAAGTTGTCACCCACAAACTGAATTAAGTCCTAATTTTTCTAGTTTTCTTCCAAGGCACATATCAACCAGGGGGAATGCAGTCTCAAATCAGGATCTTAACTGGGTCTATCAAACTGGGACACATGAAAGACAAGAGGGAGAGAATAAAAATTCTACCTTTTCTTAGGGGCAATTAACTGAAACTCTACAAAAGTGCACACACATTGACCCTGAGTCTTCTGAGGGCCACACACTTCTGGGGATGCTTTTTTTCTAGCAGGCAACTACAGACATCAGGAAAATGCTACAAAAACTAGCCTTGGGACCCCAGACCCCCAGTGACTGGCTGCTAGAAACACTTTTCAATGTCTTTAATAATCAAGACAGGGCAGAAGGAGAGCACAAAGCCAACAGATAGGAACAAAAGACTCACTTGTCAGCCACAGCTTTAAACTCTATGCCAACTCAAGGTCACCAGCCCCCCCCCCCCCACGACTGCAAGGACAACAAAGGGGTAGGGCTATTCCTACAGGCAAGGAGGATACTGGAATGGAGTGACTACAGAAAATTAAGCTCAAATACCTCCAGAACTGTTCACCCTCTGGAAGAGGGAAGGCCATTGAAAAGGTGAGTGTTCTAGGCTCTGAAGGAAACCTAGTGACTCCAAAAGTTGATGGTGTCCAAAGCCTCTCATAACCCCCACCAACCATCTCATCATCACACTAGAGGAGCCTCAGGTGACTCTTGATGAGGAAGGTCAGCTGATTATAGTTTATAAGATATGGGGGCTTCTTGCTCTACTCTGATCCACTCACTAGCACCTCTTCCTTCCAAAACCTGTTTGATTACTGGGGTAAAGGGGCATCCTCAATGCTACCATTTCACACCACCCCTCAGCTGCTGCATCAGGAGGATTTGACTGGTGGGATTTTAAGGCCAATATCTGGTCCTGGTTTTCCTGGCTTATTCCCTTCCTAATTCCCTACACCTATTGTAGGTGTAGGACCTACAATAACCTGGCTACTGTAATTATGATGTGCCTTTGTGTGTTCCTCCTTGGGCCCAACTTCTTTGGGACTCTATGAGCTTCCTGGAATTATATGTCTATTTCCTTCTCCAGACGAGAGAAGTTTTCTTTCATTATTTTTTCAAATAGGTTTTCAATTTCTTGCTCTTCCTCTTCTTTTTCTGGTACCCATATGATTCAGTTGTTGGAAGGTTTAAAGTTGTCCTAGAGGTTTCTCAGCCTCTCCTCATTTTTTTGAATTCTTGTTACTTCATTCTGTTCTGTTTGGTTGTTTATTTCTTCCTTCTGGTCCACATCATTGATTTGAGTCCTGGTTTCCTTCCTGTCACTGTATTTTTCTTTATTTCACTTTGCATAGCTTTCACTTCTTCCTCTATTTTTTTACCATATTCAGTAATTTCTGTGAGCATTTGATTACCAGTGTTTTGAACTATGCATCTGATAGGTTGGCTATCTCTTCATCGCTTAGTTCTTTTTCTGGAGTTTCGATCTGTTCTTTCATTTCAGCCACATTTTTTGTCTTGGTAGAGCTATTACATGGTAAAGGGCAGAGCCTTAGGTATTCACCTGGGCAGGGTAACACACTTTGGCTGCACTGTGGCCCTGTATGTGGGGGAGGGGTCAGAGAGGAAATAATGCCACTTGCTCAGCTCTCACCCCAATTTCAAGAGACTGGCAGTTTCTTCCACTATCACCACCCCCACAGGTTTTTACAGCCAAGGGTTCTGAGACTGTGTTTTGCCCACACTGTAACCCTGGTTTGTGTAGTCTGTCTCACTCCCATTTTTCCTCACAGTTTTTTCACACAGAAATATGGGACCACCCTGTCTGCCAGCCACCACCTTGCCACATGTCCTCTCCACCACAGTTGCCTGTTTCTGATGCTCCTACCAGTCTGAATGAATGTTTCTTCTTTAATTGCTTGGTTGTCAGACTTCCATACAGTTCCACTTTCTGGAAGTTCTACTTGTTTTTTGTTTTTAAATTGGTTGTTTCCTTCTTTTGGTTGTGCAAGGAGATGAAGCATATCTACCTATACCTCCATCTTGGCCAGAACCCTTTGTGAATTCTTTAACAGCTTGTGTCACCAGCCATCCTAATACTCAGGTGCTTCCCAGTCACCTCACTCACATAATAAAAGACTTTATCACTCTCAACACAGAAAATTCAAAGTTTGAGAGCCTTGAGTCAGGAACTGGAAGACCAAATATAAATATAAAATATATTTTTGATCATCTGAATCCTGTCCAAAAAACAAATTTTAACTGAGTAAATTTGAAGACCTAATTGGCTTTCTTAAGCAATTTATGAATCAGAAAGCATCCCACCTAGCAACTAGAAGGGCACTCTGAATTGTCCAAAATGGAAGGACTTTTGTTTTTGTTTTTGATTTTTCATGAAGAAGGGTGGAGCAAGGGAACCATTAACAAAATAAGTCCCTATTGGGACATTTATTCTTTGGGGGAAAAGTAGAGAAAGGGTGTAGATTGCCTCTTTTTCCATGGGTGATAGAAATGGCCTATATGACAGATTACCTTACTGGATCTGGAGCAGAATACCCCAAACTGGTTGATTCAGATTTGTGCTTATGAGAGAGGTTGAAACTGTACTTAGATCAGTTATTAAATCTAGGTTTGCTATCATGAGCTTTTAGCACAAGTGATGCTATTTTGGGTCTGTGGTCATTCTTTAACATGACCAAAAGTATATATAATCAATATACTCCTTAGAAATCACAATGTCATTGTGAAGGAGGAATGCAACTTGGTTTATAATATTTTCAGTTCTTTTTAAATTTTTTAAATTATATGTTATTGCTTATGCTATTACAGTTGTCCTGATATTTCCTCCTTTACTCCCCTCCAACCAGGACCCTCCACTCCCTCAGATAATCCCCACACCATTGTTCATGTCCATGGGTTGTGTATATAAGTTCTTTGGCTACTCCATTACATATACTGTACTTTACATCCCCATTGTCATTCTGTTACTATCTATTTGTACTTCTTAATCCCCTCATCTCTTCATCCATTCCTTCATACCCACCTCCCATCTGGCAACTATCAAAACACTCTCCATATCCATGATTCTCTCTGTGTTCTTCTTGTTGCTTAGTTTATTTTTTAGATTCAATTGTTAATAGCTATGTATTTGTTGCCATTTTATTGTTCATAGTTTTGATCTTCTTTTTGTTAAATAAGTCCCTTTAGCATTTCATATAATAATGGTTTGGTGATAATGAACTCCTTTAGTTTTTTCTTTCTGGGAAGCCCTTCATCTGCCCTTCCATTCTAAATGATAGCTCTGCTGGGTAGAGCAATCTTGGCTGTAGGTCCCTGTTTTTCATGACTTTCAATATTTTTTGCTAGTCCCTTCTAACCTGCAATATTTCATTTGAGAATCAGCTGACAGTCTTATGGGAATTTCCCTGTACATAACTAACTTCTTTTCTTTTGCTTCTTTTCAGATTCTCTCTTTATCTTTAACCTTTGACATTTTCATTATGATGTGTCTTAGAGTGGGCCTCTTTGCATCCATCTTGTTTGGGACTCTGTACTTCCTAAACTTGCATGTCTATTTTGCTCAACAAATTAGGGAAGTTTTCTTTCATTGGTTTTTCTAATAGATTTCCAATTTTTTACTCTTTCTTTTCTATTTCTAGCACCCCCTAGGATACAAATGTTGGAATACCTGAAGTTGTCCCAGATGCTGCGTATACCATCCTCATTTAAAAAATTTTTTTGGATTCTCTTTTCTTCTTGTTGTTCTGATTGGTTGGTATTTGCTTTCTTCTGTTCCAAATCATTGATTTGATTCTCAGTTTCGTCTGGAGTCTCTGGAGATCTCCAAGGCAGGTCAAAGAGTATTAGCCAGGTTGATGGAGTCTCAGATATGGCACCAGCTTGCCAGCTCTGTGGGGGAAGGGCTTAGGAAACAGACAATGGCCCCTGCTCACCTTGATGCCAGACACATCAGTTTCTTTCTGAATGCTACTGATGCCTTTCAAGCTGTTACCCTGGTGCTGAAGTTCAGAGGGATTGAGTCTGAATAGCTAAGTCCCTGTGTGGGTTC